ACATAGGGTTTTTCAGAATCTTAAAAGTTGTTCATGTGCGGTGCAGATTTCCAAAACAAAAACCATGCAATGAAAAGTTATTACTTCAAATTCAAACTTATTTCTTCAAAACTTTCTCTTAGAACTCGGACTTTATGACATTAATTTCGTTCAATGCTATCCTACAGCAAGAGCCCTTAAAACCAATCAGAAATGTGAAAGAAAGGACAAAGAATAGTAAGATCTTCCTTACAATCTTTTCAATCATTACACCTTTTCTTCTAGGCCATCTCAAAAATTTATGCAATCTGGCTTACTGAAAAAAGCATTTTTTACTTCAGATAGCAAGGAAATTTTAAAGGGCAAATTGTTAATTGTATTAAATTATAATTAAAGTGGTCAGTGTGAGCAGGATATTGTTTAGGAATAAGGCCTTTTTCTGTAAATGGCAAAAAGTGACAAAATTAATAAAGTTACCAAAAATAACATAAAATGGATGCAAAGCACCTAATTTTCTTCTCCACTCATATATCCCTTATTTTTATAATACTACCTCCAAAATAAGAATGGGAGAGGGCTGGGGATTTAGCTCAGTGGTTTCGCCACCTGCTTTGAAAGTGCAAGGAACCGAGTTTGATCCCCAGTACAAAAAAAAGAATAGGATCACTCAGGCTGAAGGCAAAAAGTTCTACAAAGTTTCAATTTCAAAATTGTATTTGTATTTTGAGGGAAAACTATAATTATAGGTAACAGACTTGTACAATTAGGAAACTAGGTCAGTAGGATCATTTTATAAGCAACATAAATTCATACCTTGTCGGTAAAAACTACTCCTCTGATTACTCTTTCTCTGTAGCTGCCTATATCCTTCTGTGCCTTATCACTATCTCTACAGGTGCTCTCTTCCTTTTTAACTTATTTACATATTTATTTAATTTTGGTTTTTTGAGACAGAGCCTCAAATATATAGTCCAGACTGGCCATGAAATGCTCCTGCCTCAGTGTCAGTGCTGGGATTGGGATTACAGGTGTGTGCCACTACACGAAGCTACTTCCCTTTCTTTTTAAAACCATCTTCTAATCACCCTTTCCATTCCTTTTTTGTACCAGTACCAGTTTCCAACCTTGAATTCTAACATTTTACAAAATACCTTCATAGATATCCAAAATTAGGGAGCAGAAGCTGAACTAGTCAAAGCATTACCATCAAAGAAACTCCTGAAATTTAGAAAAGAACAGTCTGCAATGTCTCAACTGCACCCTTTTTGAGAGATAAACAATGCTACCTTCAAGCCCAATCTCACAACAATCCGAAATTCTTTGAAACTAAAAATAGCTCACTTGTCTCATCTATCAGCAGATGGTCAGACTATTTTTAATGCAGGATTCTCCAGAGCAGGAGTGGATCAAACTAGACTGTGGCAGCCTAGACAGCCTTACTCATAGCTCACAGCAGCAAACTCTTAAAGAAGGCTAGTACCAAGAGAGGGCAACCTGGAGTTGATCCTGGGCCTGACTTTAACTGTGAGGGGTAGGCTGTCTTTTTTTTTTTTTTTTTTTTTTTTTTTTAAGCCATTCTTTAAAATAAAATCTGACAAATAGGAAAATTTGAAGTAAGCTTTAAATAATTCTGGGTGCTTTCTAAAGGTTTATTTTCCTTTCATAAAAATAAAAGTTCCTTTATGTAGTTTCTTTGAAAAGTGGGTTTTAATAAAAGTCTAGTCTAGACATTTTCTAAAAGTTATAATGTTAGGCCAAAAAAAAAAAAATGTTTTCAAGAGCTGGGCACGGTGGTGCACAAGCCAGCACTGTGTGAGGCTAAATCAGGAGAATCACTGGCAAGTTCAAGGCCAGCCTGAACTACATATTGAGGCCCTGTCACAAAAAAAAACCAAACCAAACAAAAAAAACCTGTTCTTATGAATACATGCTAAGCTGTAATTTCACATTTACAGAAAACTCATTTTTAATTGGTCATTTTTGTTAAAAGGTGGCTGAGGTGATCTTGAATACCAATAATTATATGCCAATAAGGTGATTTTCAAATACCAAAAAGGTGCTAAAAGCCTGGTATACCACATACTTTTTTGCTTGCTGCCCATCTCTTGTCACCTCCATGTTAGTATTAAATAAATATTTGAGGGGGGAGAGAACACAAGCAGGCATATTTTAGAAGGGTTATAGCAAAGGCAGGCATGGTGGCACATACCTGTAGTCCCAGCTACTGAGTAGGCAAAGCCAGAAGGATCACAAGTTTGAAGCTGGTCTGAGCAATTTAGCCCCTGTCTCAAAACAAATTAAAAACAAAACAGAAGAAGCTGGGGATGTAAATGAGTGACAGAAGGCTTGCTTCACATATAAAAGGCCTTAGGTTCAATTCCCAAAACCACCAAAATTAAAAAAAAAAAAAAAAAAAAAAAAAAAAAAAAAAAAGAAGAAAAAAAGAGGAAGAGAAGGAAGAGGAAGAAGAGGAGGAAGAGGAGGAGGAGGAGGAGGAGGAAAAGAAGGAGAAGAGTAGTTATAATAATGGATACAAAATGACCTCTGTACCTCCACCATCCAATACCCACATACTCTCTATCTATAGGCCAAGGATGACCAAACCAGACCATTTCTATTTGCACACATTATCAAGAAACCACATTACAAGCCAAGAAACCGAAAGGGACCTGGCATAGGTCTCAACAGTAAAGAAAAAGCTATAAGAGTTTCCAGGAACAATATATTTTTGGAGATTTCAACTTACTGCAAGATATTAAACTTTCTGTAAAGATGAAATAGGTTATCCCAGTGACCTATGTTTTAAGTGATGATATAGATAGATGACTGGAAAGGACAAACTTCATCAGGGATTCACTACCATGAGACTGCACATTGACATTTTACTTTGTAGGAAGCTGAATGTAACTTTTATGAAATATGGAGAAAATACTTTATTCATCTTAAGTACCCTGCTGCCTAGTCCCTGCATGAGTAGGCACAGTCCTCCAAATAAGCTCTGCTAATATACAGAAGGGACAAAGAATAAAACACCCCGGTACAGCTGGCACACAGAGCACCACACAATTTTTACATCTAGAAATGACAAGGACCCATTAAAAGAGATACAGGCCCTCCAAAGATGCCAATCAAGAGTGGCAGGAATACTAAATGCACAAGTTAACAGAAAAGTGTATTCATATTCATAGCATGTTAGAGGGGATGTGGTCATGCAATCATTAAATTTAAGACTCTGATTTTATTGAAAAAGAACTTAAGGCCCAGGGACTTGCCTAATACTGCTATGGAACAGAACTGGGATCCCAGATTCTCATTCCCATGAGCTCTGCATTAAAACATGCTTAGTTATGTTATTATTTTGGAGAGAAAAAAAATAGATGCACAACACACTTTCTTTAGCTAGATATTTAGAATTAACACATTAAAATATATTTTAACATGGAAAATCTCAGTTCACAAACATTAAAACTTTAATTTGAATCTCTCATGTTCTTTATCATGCCAAATTATTCACAGACCAACCGACAATTCTTTTATTGGTACCAGGTTTCGAACTCGGGTCCTTGCACTTGCAAGGCAGGCAGCAGAACCACTGAGCTAAATCCCTGGCCCTCAAAATAACAATTCTTTTAAAAATCCTAAGATCACTCCTTCCCTGTTACCGGAAAATTATTCCTTTAAGGATCCAGGTATAAGTTTATGACACTACAAAACTGTCTTCTCATGTATCTTGAACAGTCTTTTATTACGTACAGAAGTATCAGAATGGGAACATCTGATCAATAAACGAGGCAAAAAAACTAAAGCTTCCTGTACCACAAATTTAAAAATTTTTAAGCTGAACTCTCTTCAATGTTTTTCATATGACTAATTTTAAAAATACAGAAAAAAATTGCATAGCATTTTAACAAGTAGAATAGTAATATTCTACTTAATAATTAAAAACCAAAGTTGCTTTTAATCTGCATTAAGCCTTTACTTCAGCATATATTATGAGTTTTCTTTGCACCTTTAAGAACTTTTCCCCCCATTTAACAAGCTTCGTTTCATTTCCATTAGAGCTAACCTATTTCCAGTACTATAAAATAAAGCTTGAACAATAGGAATATATCTTTGTGTTAAATGTTCTGGTCGCTCCTTCAACTGATGCAAAATATCAGCAAGTGTTCCCTCTTTAACAATACCTTATCTGCCTCCCCTGGCTATAGGTATTGTTGAGATTTTCCCTGCTTCGGGCTTCATAACACTAGGTCTCTTCCATCTGAACTATAAATCACCATCGAAGCCTGAGAATAGCTGCCACTGTCCAGACATGTGGTTAGTGGGTGTCACTGTCTTTTTCATTTTCCCCATTTCAAACCCTCCTTTTTCATATTACTTAAAACTAATTTATCTGAAGGGTGTTTTTCCTTCCCTTTTTTCAAACTGCCACCCCATTCCCTTAACCTCTGCTCTTGTTCTTCCAGGTCAGTCCAGTCGGCTACACATCACTGTTTTTCTTGTGGCGGAGGCAGAGAGAGGTCAGACCCACTGCACCTCTGCAAACCCCTTCTGGAGACTGTCAACAAGGGAACTTCAGCCGGTCTTCCCAAAGTATCACACCAACAGATAAAGTTATTGTAATTACAATACAGAATCCTTCCCACGCCCATTCTTGACACATCGGCCCCACCTGAATTTCCAAGATAATAAACAAGAGCTCATCTTCAGCTTCATCACAAAGGGTGGTATCCTGTCCGCACTGTAAGGTCCACCTACAAAAATCCTCCGTCTCCAGCGGAACCCTCGAACCCAGGTGCCCGGAGATCCTAAACCCTGCCGCGTTCCCGGAGCCCAGCTGGCTCCCCTTCCTCCTCCACCCCTACAGTGCTACATATCTAGCTGAGTTACTGTCAACTACAGACAGGCAGCAGACAGTTCCGCGGAGCCCCGGGAAGTCGGCGGCGCAGAGCTAGGACAAGCCCCCAGCCACCCCTCCTCCCGCAGGGCCCCCCCAACCCCCCGGCCTCCTCCCGGCTCACCTAACGCCACCTCGCAAGCTTTGCGCAGCTGGGAGTGATGCGCCTTCTTCACTTCCTTGTCGGCCAAAATCTTCTCCAGGGCCCGGGTCAGAAACATGTTCTTCGTCTTCTTCCCTTCATACATGGACGCAGAGAAGGAGGCGGCGGCTTGTCCGACCCGCGGCTCCCACCAGCTGGAGGGAGGGAGGAGAAGGAAGAGAAGAGAGAAAGGACTGGAGTTGGAGGTGGGGAAGAAGAGGGGTGGAGGGCAGCGGCAGAATCAGGAAGGAGCGGGCGAGCGGGGCCAACCGCGGTGCCGGAGAGGGGCGTCGAGGTCCTCGCA